GCCTTCCCCACTATAATTGATATTTCTCAATAGGTGAAGGGCTCAAAGTAGGGCCTATTCTAATAATGATGTCAGTCCCATCTATATAATTCAGAGACCAGGGAAATCACCATTGGCTGGGTATATGGACCCAACAGGCCTACTGCGAACTAGATTTTGGCCAGGACTCCATTACCTCCATAAGTTCCTATTCTAATGTGAGTCAGTGATGCCTCTTCCAGTCTTTAGATATCAATGTCAACTTAAACTCTGTGTCTAATAATCCTCAAAATATCTGGGTATTCCTCTTTCTCCAGTGTACATTTTCCCAAGTAAACAGTTATGGGTCCTTTTGGGGAGGGACTGGAGGCATTACAAAATATATTTGCCATAGTTCTACAGGGTTGTCCCTCTTGTGGACACTACCACCTCACAGTCAAATGTTTCTGGGTATAAGAACTGTCACGGACAAGTGGGAAAAGGATCTGGCTTTTTGTTGGGAAACCACCCTCAACCCATCTATTCTTGCTATGTTTTGAATTATTAGTATTTAACAACAGTATTTAGAAGACCCTTGTTAGCTGCTTACCTGCTTTGCCCCTAGGGATGCAAACTTTGGAAGTTTGAGTCATTATTTTTTTACTTATTTTCTGATCCAGTCTCTTTATCCTTTTATTCTACAATCTGATTGGCTTGGCTGTATTGTAAGTTTGTTGAGATTTTTCCATGTGTCTCTGAAATGCTTCTATTTTTTAAATACATTTGCTCTCCCATCTTTAGATTTTTTTTTCCAAATCCACTGACTCTTTCTCTGTCATATTTATTATGCTACTAAACCTGTGCAACAGTTTTTCTAAATTTTCAAATATTATATTTTCAGGTCTAAAATTCCTTTTTTGCACTTTTTGTATTTTCCATTGATTGTCTGCAACTATCTTTTCTTTCATTAATTAATCATACTTACAATAGCTACTTTAAAGTTCTTGTTTGAAAAGTCAAAAATATGGGTTACTCAGAGGTTCACCTCTCCTGAAAAGGTCATATTTTCCTGATTCTTAGTATTTCAAGTAAAAATGGGTTTCCAGATGACCATCACACAATTTATGTTGTGGAGACTTGAGATTTTATTATATTATTCTTACATGTATATATTATGTTGAAGAATGTTGATGTTTTTGTTTCAGCAGAAAATGCAGGCAATTAACTTCGTTAGAAACAAACTCTTAACTCTATTTCACCTGCAGCAAATGGCAACTAAAATCTCAAATAAGTTCTCTTTCAGATCACTGAGGCTATCCTTACATGTGTTATCTAGACCAGCCAGAGATTTGGGCAGTTTACACATTATTATTGGTACCCATACTTCTGACAAAGAAACACAGTGCTCAATGTTACTCTCTCCCCTTCAGCCCTATCTTGACATTCTTCCACCTTGCAGCAACTGTAGACATTAATGTACTTACATTGTCACTAATTAAGGAGCAGAGGGTTAATCAGATGTTTCTTCATTCTCTGTCTAGAAGTACAGGTATAGACTTCATTTATGTTTTAGTTCTAAAGAATTTCCCAAAAGCAACTGGGACTCAAACTTTCCTTCCAGGAATGTCTATAAGAGTCCTCACACTGCTTTCCCTAAGATGTAAGCTATAGGTGTCAGCAGTTTTATTGATTCTGATGGTTCACTGGGCATGAATCTTTGTCATCCTTCCTAGAAAGAACAAAGTGGATCCTTTGGAATCCAGTTAGTGCTACAATTACTAGGGAAGTCTTCCTCACTTTCTTATAATCACCCCGAGCCTCCCTTGAATTTCTCTCAACCCTTCTAGCAACATTTTGTATCAACAAATTTACAAAAATCATAGGTACTATTACCTTTATAATTTTGTAACTATGAGTTTACACACATACCTGGGGCTTCCATTTTCTGGCTCTCTCCTTTCTGGGATGACTCATCACTTTCCTTCAGCTGTAGCTGCCATAGACTCTGCTTCTATTCTTCTGGTCATAAATCCAAAAGATTTCCCAGGAAGTTTCAGCTGCCCTACACCAAGATATGAACTTCATCCTCAGGCTAAAAGCACAAAAACAAAGAACTTACCACTTGCCATTCCCTTTTTCTAAGTTTCACTCCTCTCTAAAAAAAAAAATCTACAGACTAAGTTTAAGGTATCTGTGTAGTTTCCAGCTGGAGATGTCAAGTGTGAAAACAGGCCCAACCGGATGAGCTATTCATAACTACATCCTCCCTTGCCTTTCTCCATTATAGAAGAAAAGAGTTTAATAATCAATTTTACAGTCAATCTACAGTTACAGATGACCAAGTGACACTTTATACAAGATATACCTGCACGAATGCTTGATAGGATTTCTAGTGAATATTTTGCTTTGTTGCAGCCTTTTATTCTCTCCTCCATGTTTCCTTTCTGGATAATGGATATGATGCCAGGAGACCCAGCAGCCATTGCATGAGTAGGCAGCAACAAGCATTAGGACAAAGCCAGTAAGATAAAAATGCTGGAGCAGAAAGGCAGATGGAACTTGGATCATTATGACTAGAACGTCTGCAAAATCCGGATTGACTATCTCTGGACATATTATTTGGAATGTGGGGAAAATTCTGCCCCATTTTTTTCAGCCGTTTGTCACATTTCCTGTTAATTACAAACATTCCTACATACAAGGAAATTGATACAGTGAATATGAAGAAAACAATTCAAGAAAGAGGTTCAAGCTGGAGACAGGTCAACAGGGTTGACATAGCAGTTGAAGCCCTGTGTTGAACGAGATCACCAAGTGTGGTTATAAAGGGGAAACAGCTGAGACTCCAATGTCTGACACCACTGGTGCTGAAGAGGAACTGGTAGAGAGAAGGAGCAGCTGGAAGAAGTCATACAACCATAAAGAGAAAGAATGAAAACAACAAAATGATGACCTAGAAACCAAAAAAAGAAAAAGTAGGTGTCAGCATTCAAATGCTACAAAGTAAAGTTAACCAAGTATAGAAAAGTGTCCATTAGGTTTGGTAATTATCAAGACAGAGCATTTTAGTGGAACAGGAATCAGGTTCTAATAACGCTGGCTGTGGACAATCAGTTTCTCAGCCACAGACTGGACTGCAATGATCATCCCCACAAGTCTACCTTTCACAGCAGGCTCTGATTGTCCCAGCATGGATTATGAAAAGGAATGTGGATGGATCATTGCTCCAAATGGAAATACAATTCAAAGTGCAGTCTCTATTAATAGGGGCCATTCTTAATATCAAAGGCAGCATATTTTATATTCCTTAAAAAATGAAAATAACAGCTCAAGTTTAGAATGACCTACTGAATGGGCAACAGGGTGGATTTTCCTGACCCTTTCACTTTGAAAAACAGCAAGGTTCTAAGATTCAGTATATTTGCCTGGTTCCCTGCAGCTGTGACACGGGCCTCGAGCACGCTTTGAAGATGACAGGCTTGGGTTAGTGATATAGGTGCACGACGGCAGAGGAGGAGGGAATAAAATGGATAAATGAAATACAGTGAAGAAAGAAACTTAGTAATCAATAATATGAAAATATCAGCACAGGAAGATTTAAAGACAAATTCTATAGGAAAAGTTATAAAAAGGAACTACAGATGTAAAGGGTGATTAAAAGGGAAATAGACCAACTTTCAATGTCTAACTTAGCACTGAGAGGTCTTCAGACCGGTAGGAAACATTTTTTTTTTCTTTTTATTGCTATTGAATTGGTAAGGACTTGAAAAGGCATGTGAGAATTTAAAAGTCTTCCTTCCTCCCTCCCTCCCTCCCTCCCTTCCTGTTTTCCTTTCTTTTTGAGAATTCTTTTAATCTAAAGATGATGTACGGAAAAGCTGCAAAGCAATTAGTAAAAATGAAAAGATGGTTTTGAACGATTAAAATTGTTTCACTAGCTTTTCATTGTTAAATGTTGTCGCTGATTAATGCCAGACTGAGACACTGACTATGTCTCTCAAATAGCACGTATATTAAGAAATGATCAAAGAAAAAAGCAACACAGAGAAACCACAGAATAAGCTTGTTAACATGACAAGGGTAAAGGCTCAAACTGAAAGTGTGTATCTTTATTTTGAGCACTTCACTGGGCATTTTACACCACAAAACTATGCGGTACGTGCATTCTTTACATTTTCCAAAAACATTCCTCACCAATGTAAACATAGCACAGCTGAAGAGGACTAACCAAATAATTTGTTGGGCCCAGTGCAAAATGAAAATGTAGGACCCTTGTTTAAAGAAGTGGGAAAAAAATGACCTTAAAAGTGCTAAAATATAATTTTCCCCTCTGCAGTCTCTTTCAGCTTGTTCTGGTGTTTACTATTTGTTCTTCAACATAATCCTAACTTTTTTTAAAAAACTGAAACTTAAATTGAATGTATTTGCCACTCACCTTATATTATGCAACAGCATTTTAAATAAAAATCTGAGAGGATTTAACTTCTATACAACATGAAATTATGCAATTTGTATGCCTTCCTTGTGTATGTATTTCATTCTCACCCGAACAACAAAAACAGTCCACAAAGCTCAATTAACTAGTTTTATTTTACTTTTTAAAATTAATTTTTAATTGTGGTAAAATAAACAACAAATTCAACCATCTTAACCATTTTTAAGTGTGCAATTCAGCAGTGTCAGGCGCATTCAAATCGTACAACCGTCACCACCATCTTTTTCTCACTTTTGATTTCCACATATTTTACCAACACTCTACCTTTTGCTGATTGACATGTAAGGAAGAACTGAAAGGAAAAGGAACTAGAAGCCCTCTTTTTTCTCTTCATTTCTTTATTTTCAGTGTAAGTGAATGGCTAAGGCAAGGAAGCAACCCAAGTATGAAAGGGTATGAAAAGTTCCTTGGCTGTTGGTGTGTTTTAGAATGCCATCATCGCCTTCTTTTCGTATTAGAAACAAGCCTTGGTTCACAGGGGGAATGGGGCCGCTGGATATGGTCAGTTCCCACTCCCAAACCTCTACTCAGTCACAGTCCTAACATCTTACTTCCTAGTGGCTTTGAGCACTGCTCCTAAGGATTATGAAATTCTGCACCATATGCAAATGAGGTGACAAAAAGCAGCAAACATGCATATTGTGCATATTCTGTATATCTCCTCCTCTGCTCTGTCTTCCCGCTGGGTTTCACTTACAAAAGGGGGTAAAAGATATTGTTAAGAATTTGAGATGGCAACAGCCGGGCGTTTAAGCGCAAAGCTGTCTGAGAGCTGGGCCCTAAGTGACTGCACAGGACGCAAGTCCAATGCTGCAGACACGGTGCAATTGGGCCTGAAGGAGTTAAAAACTGGCCTCCATCTCCTTGTGGGCCACTAAGAACAAGGTAAGGGTAACCGGATTGACAGGGCAACATTGTCTATTCTGACCCTGGTGTTTAGAGAGAGAAACAGTCCAAAGACAAAATACGGAGAGGAACTGAAAGTTACCGCAAAACCCTTAATCAACACTCCCTTTTACATTTGTAAAAATAACCGCAGCTCTGCGCACAGGCTCTAATATTTTGCTTACAGCCTGAGAGGTAAGACAAAAGAATTGCCCCACCAAGTGCTCCCAGCAGCGTCATGCCTGGACCTGTGCTGACCCTCCTCAGACCCTGGCTGCCGCCCAGATGCCCGCAGTTACCTGTCACCTGCACCACCTCCCACCCACTCTCTCTCCGGCATAAAAAGAGCCTGAAACCAAGCCTGAGTTCAGGTAGCAGTCCTCCCAGCTCCCAAGCGGCCGGCGGGCTGAGCAGAGCTTTCTCTACCCCACACTGCCTGTGTAGTGGCTGAGTCCGGCGGGGGCCAAGCGTGTCTTGCCACAAGGGGGCCTCACACTCAGGGCACATTCTCACCCTTTACCTCACCTGCCACGTAAGTACCAAATTCAGGCGGGCCGCTGTTCCGCTGTTACATTGACTAAACAAGGAAGCCATTAGACTGAGGGGGCTCTAATGCCCGGTGAGAAAGTAAAGACCGAAAATCTTTGCCTGAAAATGCGCCCAAGTTACGAAGGCTACGCAATCAAAACGCTAAGAAACAACCAATCACAAATGGGGAGGGACGTCTTACGTGGTAGCCACGCAAACAGCTGCCTTCCTCTTGCACTTTCTCTGCGGGCTTCCAACAGCCTGTTTGGTGCTGCGCAACCTCATCTAGTTTTTCCTCACATAAACGCTTAAAAATGTTAATGTGTTTCAGCTGATCTTTTAATACCCCTTATTAAATGACTGACGAGCCAAACTCCCGCCGCTCACTAGGGCTGCGGTGCGGACTAGAGGCCAGGCATCCTGATCCCTCGCTAGGTGCTCTGCTCGCAACCTCTCCACTGAGAAGAGCTGTCAGACTGCAGAGAGAGAGAGACTACATTTGTCTGTCCTTTGGGTGCGTTTTCCGTGTCGTCTCACAGACGGCAAAAAGCCAGTTAATTAAAACTCGTGGAATATGTTAGTGGAGGAGAGCTAAAGGAAGGGGATGATCGGGTCAGAAAGGGTGACTCAGTGAAGTCTCCCTGCAGGACAGAGGCTTTGAGGAAGGATTTGAAGTGAATATTAAGTAGAGGCAAAGCCCATGTGGGGAAAAAAAAATGTTCTAAGAAAAGCAAATGGGAAGGAGCAGAGAAATCAGAGTCTTGGAAGGTTACGATTTGCATGGCTGAAGATGCCATGTTCAGCATAGATTTCTTATTTAATCTTACAACCAATCTGCTTAAAGCTTTTTCCTACTACACCCTTCAGCTGGCTAAATCAGTGGTCCCTTCCCATACACCTTTGTTCTAACAGCCAAACAAACCACAGATGACATTAACACAAGGAGATATATATGGCATGTTTCTAAGCTCATTCTTCTATTTGTTTGGTTGGCCTTTAATAAAACAAATAAATATATACCAAAATAAATCACTGAAAATACTTAGGTAGATGATACACAAATTAGGATTAAATATTCTGAGGATACATATCTGATTTTCTTACTGAGGCTATGTTAAAATTATTAGTTACTACTGAGCCTAACTTTACTTACGGCCACTCCACTAGAATAAAACACCCTATTTTAACTCATCAAATATCTTCTTGATTGTTGAATGTTTCTTACACTTGGCTTTTCTACAGAAACTATGATCAAGTTTGCATCTAAAGCCATTTCACTGTCTTTCATTTGAGGGCGCTCTTTCAAGCAGAGAAAATTGTCCATTAACTAATGAAAAACATACTCTCACTCAATATTCTCAGAATTTCTCATCATCTGTGCATAAGTGTTGCATCTCAATCACCTTGAAAGAAGGCATAGAATATCAACATAAGCAGCACAAAACCCCTGTGATTATGTTTTCCCTAGGTGAAAGGAATATTGTAGCCACTTTAGTACCAAGTCTGTTTCTCCCATTTTCTTCTGATATTTTCTAAAAACACTGATTTCATTTGCTACCTCAACTATATGATATTAGAAACACAAAACACCATATTTTTAAAACCCTGAGAATAGAAAATAAACTGATGAAGTGATTTCTTCACCCAGTGACCTGTTTCATAATGAGAATTTACTTAGGTAGATATAGGGTGAGATAAAGCAGTGGGGAGACCAGTGGTGATGTGATGGTGCTCAATATCAGCTCCTTGGTGATATTGTCTGTCCTATTAATTCCCTTTTTCCCAGAACCTAACACACTGCCTGGAAAATCATAAAATGAATTCATGTCAGTTTTGCTGTTTTAGTCAAATCAGTGTTTGATTCTGGAAGTGGAATGTTGAAAGTGATTAGGTAAATTAATCCAGAGTTTAAGGCAGAAAGAGTTCATTCTCTGTCTTGCTGGCAGTGTGAATTTAAGCATTGTTTTTAGCAGCTCTGTTTCTAAGAGAGCAAAAGACTATAGAAGAGCTGAAATATACAGATTCTTCACTTGAGCTACTCAAGCAGGTAGCCAGGTGATCCATTTGTCACCTGCACATACAGGAAAGTAAGTGGGTTGCCAGAAGCAAAGCTGCCCCCTCCACCCAACTTTGCCCCATTTTTTGCATACTTAGTGACACAGGTCGTGTCTCTCAATATGCTTATAATCACATAAGTATAAATAACATGGTCTCCCTCAGGCATCCTGTGAACAATAAAAAGAAGTTCCAAGGATAATACTACTAAAACTCAATGAACTATATATTAATACAGTATTAAAGTTGTTGCCTTGCAATTTGATGATAGGGTAGAGGTTCACTGAAAATTCTTAAATAGGAAAGATGTTCATTACCCCAGGAAATCTCTGTTATCTTCCTCTAAACATTGAGCTTTATTTAAATAAGTGAAGGCAGTTTTATAAAAATCTTATGATAAAGAGACATAATCTTCTACCTCCAAACGGGGAAAAATTAAATGAAACAAAATTTGTTGAAAATGACCCACTGATAATTTTAGCTAACACTACAATACACTCAGCTCCAGAGTACAGAGTTACTATGAATAGAGCAATGTTTTGCAAAATGTGTCAACATATCATCTTCAAAATGCAGACTCCTATGTTCCAAACCGATCTATCAAATCAGAACCTTTGGAATTGGGGAGATCTGCATATTTGATGAGGTTCCCAAGAAGTACTTCTGCATACTAAAGTTTAAGAACTACTAGTTTCAAGTTTACTGGTTAGTTTCCAAATAGCACTTCAGGATTTCATGGTGAAACAGTGAATTACATGCCCACCTGAAATGTATAAATGCAAACTCATTTGAGCATCATCTACACAGATGCTTGTCTTCATTACGTTCCTTTTTATTATAAAATGACATTAATTCCCCTAGTTGCCCAGTTCATTATCAGAGCATTTGGATATGTTTTTAATGACATTGCAAAAATCTGTACTTTCAAATCATTTCAAAGAATATATGAGACTGGATTTCTGTTATACTATTGTGGATAAAATGAGAGTTCCTGTGGCCAGGATTCTCACGTGGCCCTGGTTAACTAGCTCACTGCACACCTGTGGGCAATACATGGCTGTTGACTCTATTAAAGAGCTCCACCCAGTGCTCTGGGTGCAACACGGTGGCACGGTTGCAAGGCTGCAGGAGAGCAGAACAGAGGCTGGAGTGGTGGCAGCACTGAGGACAGAGGGGCCCAGAGGCAGAGACCAGCTTGCTGCATGCAGACTCGCTTTGAGTGAATGGGATTCTAGTGACTGACCTGCCACCTGGAAATAAAGCTGGGTATAACCCTTTCACCCCAAAGAGTGTTTTGCTGTCATTTTCTTTGGTCACACAGAATCTATAGCAAACTTGACCAGGGCTGAAACCCATTGGCAAGACGACTCATATAAAAAATCTAATTATAGAACTTCTTGTGTGGAGTATTAACTCAAGGATGTACAATTCATCTCTCCCTATTGGTATTCCAAAATTGCCCATGAGTCAAACAAGACTACCAGGTAATGGGCATATTTGTCTCTTATAAGACAACTGAACTACTTTTTTTATATTATTAAGGTATCACTAATATACAATCTTATAAAGGTGTCCATGAACAACACTGTGGTTACGACATTCACCCTTATTTTTAAGTACCCCCACACAAACCCTATTGCAGTCACTGTCCATCAGCATAGTAAGATGCTATAGAGTCACTACTTGTCTTCTCCATGCCATACTCCCTTCCCCATGGCCCACCTATATTATGTGTACTAATCATAATGCCCCTTAATCCCCTTCTCCCTCTCTCCTCCACCCCCCCTTTGGTAACCACTAGTACCTTCTTGGAGTCTGTGAGTCTGCTGCTGTTTTGTTCCTTCAATTTTGCTTCATTGTTATACTCCACAAATGAGTGAAATCATTTGGTACTTGTCTTTCTCCACCTGGCAAATTTCACTGAGCATAATACTCTCTAGCTCCAGCCATGTTGTTGCAAAGTTAGGATTTGTTTTCTTCTTATGTCTGAATAATATTCCATTGTGCATATGTACCACCTCTTCCTTATCTGCTCCTCTACTGATGGACACTTCGGTTGCTTCCCTATATTGGCTTGTGGATAAAATGAAGGTTCCTGTGGCCAGGATTCTCACCTGGCCCTGGTTGGCTAGCTCACTACACATGTGTGGGCAATGCATCATTATTGACTCTATATAAAAGCCCTGCCCAGTGCTCTGGGAGACAAGGTGACACGGGTGCAAGGCTGCAGGAGAGCAGAGCAGAGGCTGGAGTGGTGGCAGCAATGAGAACAGAGGCCCAGAGGATAGCCTGTGTAGACAGAGAGGCCCAGAGGCAGAGACCAGTTTGCTGCACACAGACTCACACTGAGTGGACAGGATTCTAGTTATTGACCTGCCACCTTGGAAATAGTGTTGGATATAAACCCTTTCACCCCAAGAACGTTTTACTGTCATTCCTTTGGTCATATTGAATCCATAGTGAACTTGTCTGGGGCTGAAACCCATTGGCAAGACATGGCTACTGTAAAGAGTGCTGTGATAAACATAGGGGTGCAAATGTCTTTTTGAATCTGTGATCCTGTTTTCTTAAGATAAATTCCTAGGAGTAGAATTTCTGGGTCAAATGGCATTTCTATTTTTAGTTTTTTGAGGAACCTCCATACTGCTTTCCACAATGGTTGAACTAATTTACATTCCCATCATCAGTGTAAAAGGGTTCCCCTTTCTCCACATCCTTACCAGCATTTGTTGTTGCTTGTCTTTTGGATGGTAGCCATCCTAACTGGTGTGCAGTGATATCTCATTGTGGTTTTAATTTGCATTTTCCTGATAATTAGCAATGTGGAGCATCTTTGCATGTGCCTTTTGGCTATCTGCATTTCTTCTTGGAAGAAGTGTCTGTTCAGATCCTCTTCCCATTTTTTAATTGGGTCATTTGCTTTCTGGGTATTGAGGCATGTGAGTTCTTTATATATTTTGGATGTTAACCCCTTGGTGGATATGTCATTTACAAATATATTCTCCCATACCATAGGATGCCTTTTTGTTCTACTGATGG